CTTATCCATTCGTCCGTTGAAGGGCATCTTGGTTCTTTCCACAGTTTGGCGACCGTGGCCATTGCTGCTATAAACATTGGGGTACAGACGGCCCTTTTTTTCACTACATCTGTATCTTTGGGCTAAATACCCAGTGGTGCAATTGCAGGGTCATAGGGAAGCTCTATTTTTAATTTCTTGAGGAATCTCCACACTGTTCTCCAAAGTGGCTGCACCAACTTGCATTCCCACCAACAGTGTAAGAGGGTCCCTTCTCTCCACATCCCCTCCAACACATGTTGTTTCCTGTCTTGCTAATTTTGGCCATTCTAACTGGTGTAAGGTGGTATCTCAATGTGGTTTTAATTTGAATCTCCCTGATGGCTAGTGATGATGAACATTTTTTCATGTGTCTGATAGCCATTTGTATGTCTTCATTGTAGAAGTGTCTGTTCATATCTTCTGCCCATTTTTTGATATGATTGTCTGTTTTGTGTGTGTTGAGTTTCAGGAGTTCTTTATAGATCCTGGATATCAACCTTTTGTCTATACTGTCATTGGCGAATATCTTCTCCCATTCCGTGGGTTGCCTCTTTGTTTTGTTGACTGTTTCCTTTGCTGTGCAGAAGCTTTTGATCTTGATGAAGTCCCAAAAGTTCATTTTCACTTTTGTTTCCTTTGCCTTTGGAGACATATCTTGAAAGAAGTTGCTGTGGCTGATATCGAAGAGGTTACTGCCTATGTTCTCTAGGATTCTGATGGATTCCTGTCTCACGTTGAGGTCTTTTATCCATTTTGAGTTTATCTTTGGGTACGGTGTAAGAGAATGGTCGAGTTTCATTCTTCTACATATAGCTGTCCAGTTTTCCCAGCACCATTTATTGAAGAGAGTGTCTTTTTTCCGCTGTATATTTTTTCCTGCTTTGTCGAAGATTATTTGACCATAGAGTTGAGGGTCCATATCTGGGCTCTCTACTTGTTCCACTGGTGTATGTGTCTGTTTATATGCCAGTACCATGCTGTCTTGGTGATCACAGCTTTGTAGTAAAGCTTGAAATCAGGTAACGTGATGCCGCCAGTTTTATTTTTGTTTTTCAACATTTCCTTAGCAATTCGGGGTCCTTCTGATTCCATACAAATTTTAGGATTATTTACTCCAGCTCTTTGAAAAATACCAGTGGAATTTTGATCGGAATGGCATTAAAAGTATAGATTGCTCTAGGCAGTATAGACATTTTAACAATGTTTATTCTTCCGATCCAAGAGCATGGAATGGTCTTCCATCTTTTTGTGTCTTCTTCAATTTCTAAGAAATACTGTATTTTTAAAAGATTTTATTTATTTATTTGACAGAGAGAAAGCGAGAGCAGGAACACAAGCGGGGGGAGTGGGAGAGGGAGAATTAGGCTTCCCGCCAAGCAGGGAGCCTGATGCGGGGCTTGATCCCAGGACCCTTAGATCATGACCTGAGCCGAAGGCAGAGGCTTAATGGCTGAGCCACCAAGCTGCCCCCAAAGAAATACTATTATCAACACATGTAAACCTCAATGCCAAGAAGGAAAATTCACAAAATACCATTACTTCAAAAAGCCCACTTGGCTTTTGTTCTCTCTGTACTCCTTGAGGATTCCCGGGGCCTGACTGCTAGGGTGACTGGCCATGGAGCAGCATGACCCCTTGGCACAAAGGCAGGCTGTGGTCCATGCCCCCCACTCCCCCAGACCCCAGTTCTGGCATCAGCCCACCCCCGTGAGCACACAGTAAAGGGTACATCTGTGCTCATGTGCACACACAGGCAACGCAGGATAGCAGAGAGCTCCATAAACCCAGTATGACAACAGCAGTTGTCCCGAACAAAGGTTGCTTAGAATGTGTGTTTATGAGGATAATTGCCACCACATTACACGGAGCGCAATAACTTTGTTGTTAGCACAACCGTTTGTCAGACATGTCACATGGAAAGTGGAACAGCTGTAACCGTAAGTGACAGATTGATGAAAAATGGCTGATTTCCAAGGCACCTGGTGCTCTGAGCCTGTATCGTAATCTTGTTCTTAAATTAAAACAACAACAACAAGCATACAAAACTTTCTACTGCAGGAACTGTTGGCTTATGAAAATGGACAGAGAGAATTTTCAGGGTGGCAGTGAGTCAGGGCCTCAGGCTGGCCGTCTGTGTTCTCAGACCATACGACCGCACGTGGGCTCCACAGGAAGACCTGGCTTCTAATTCAGAGGGTCTTGGGTCCAAAGCCTGTCTCTCCTGCTTACCAGCCCTATGTTCTTGGGAAGGAAGTTACCTTTATGGGTCCATTTCCTTACAAGCTGGTGATAATAATCTCTAAGCACAGAGTGGTTCTGAGCAGCAGAATCCATGTATGGAGCGCTCGTCACAGCACCTGGCACATAATGAGTGTTTAGGAAATGGGGTTACAGTGAAGCAGGCTTGCCTACCTAAACGTCACATTTGGTTGCATAATGCAGAGGTGACTGCCTGTGTACTATTACACTTTTTAAAAAAAGAAATGGAAATATCATAAAGATCTGAGAAGGTAGATAAAAAAGGTGATAATAATCATTTGAGGTTTTCCTTGGAGATTATACCCAGGAAGTCATGCTCTCCATAGAAGAATGGATTTGGAAAAACAAACTTATCTTTTTTTTTTTTAAGATTGTATTTATTTATTTGAGAGCGAGAGAGAGTAAGCGCATGTGCACTCGCACGCATGAGTGGGGATGAGGAAGGGGGAGAAGGACAAGCAGACCCCACTGACGTGGGGCTCGATCCCACGACCCTGCAGTCACGACCTGAGCCTAAATCAAGAGTTAGACACTCAACCGACTGAGCCACCCAGCCACCTGCACTTATCTTTATTATTTGCCACCCAAAGCCATTCTTTTTCTTCTTTTCTTCCAAGTAAAAAGTTGCAAATAATTTACCTCGTATCTGAAAGCCTTGAAGACCCCATGACAGGGGGCCCGCTTCCTAACTGACCACTTGCAGCAAATTTCCTGCAATGCATTTATTGAAGTATTTAGATTAACAAAATGTCTCCTCTCCCCTTCTTAGAGACAGAAATTGGGCCCAGAGCACAGCACATATGGCTGCTTATCTCATGCCCCATGGCTCACAAAAATGCTGTAAGCACTACCTAGAAAACTAGTGCTGTTAAGGCTGAAATTGTCCTAGAAGAGCAAAGGTCTTAAATCCTTCTACACTACATGAGAAAGTACCTCAAGTTCTAATTAAGCTAAAGCAATTAGCCACCCACAGATACTTAACGCTGCTTCCCATGGACAGGCAATCATCTCTATTAAGACCCATTTGAAAGTCAGAAGTAAATCCCAAAGCTCCATCAGCACACACTTCCCACAAATCAATTACACCTAGACACATGCAGTGACTACTCAGAGCCGAGCTCTGTGCCTTGCAGAGAGGGCTCGCATGAAGACCCATATCAGACACGATGAGCTGGTTACAGAAAAGGAGGAGGCAAGCAGCCAGTGGGACAACTGGGGGGTCATAAAGCCCATTTGCAGAGGGGGATGCTGGATCCCTGGGAGGTTGGACAAAGTAAGGCAAACTGACACCTTAGGTTTCCTGATCTTGGAATTCCCTGGTTAATTTAACAATTGATATCAACCCCACTCTGAGGGAGCACAAGGAACAGAACAGTCTCTGGTTGCTGTAACCAGAGCCCAGCTTCATTGTGTATAACCAGACTCCTGTCCACACTTGAGGCTTCATGGGAGGACTGTCCTCGCCCATGTTGCCATTTGTTGTTGAAGTACCAACAGGGTGCACTTGGCAGGTTCAAAGTGAGTCTGGGCCATTTAAATGCATATACTTTCCTCAGCCCAGTAAGGTCTACTTTTCCCAAGGATTCCCTCCAGTGAAGATTTCTCAATGGTTTCTAGGCCAAGGCTGTTCCCAGACCCACCATTAGCAACAGCTACACAACGGTCCATGGGTAAGTGACAGATTTAAGCACCTTCCTCAAGAACTAAGGTTGTTTTTGTTTTTCAGTCCAGTTAAGTTAATCCAATAACCCATTACTTCTCAACTGAACAGGAGCCTTTTCATCCTCTGTGGGTTTTGGGGGCGGGGGTTTGTTTTTTGGATTTGGGAAATTTCTTAATCATCAAGTAGACATCAAAAATGGGGGAGACAAACCATGAGAGACTGTGGACTCTGAGAAATGAACTGAGGGTTTTGGAGAGGAGGAGGGTGGGGGGTTGGGTGAGCCTGGTGGTGGGTATTAAGGAGGGCACATATTGCATGGAGCACTGGGTGTGGGGTATAAACAATGAATTTTGGAACACACACCAAAAAATTAAATTAAATTAAATTTTTTTAAATGCAGGAAAAATAGAAAATGCAATAAAAATATTCCTAGGAGCCACATATAAAAAATAAAAAAGAAACATGAAATTAATTATAATATCTTACTTAACCCACTATATAAAGATATTGTTTTTTCATCATGTAATCAGTATAAAAGATAATTAATGAGAGAGTTCACATTTTTTTCATACATGCTTTTTCTGGTACCGTATGGGGCTGTGGAGGTCTAGAGCTATGTACAATTTGACACAGAAAGACTCACAGTTCACTGTTCTATGAGCAAGCAGGTTACCAAGTTGTATATATAACATGATCTTATTCTAACTTTATAAAAACCTGTGTCTATGTGGAAAGTAATCTGTAAGGGAGAGGCCCAAGGTAATAATAGTCATCTCTGATAGGCAGAATTATAGTTGGTCTCGATTTTACACTTCATGCTCTTTCGTATTTTCTAAATTTCTTTGCAGTAAACACCTTGCAGCAATGCTTTATCAGGAAAACCATAAACTCATCTTATAAAAAAAAAAGCGTTTCTTGTTTTAAGTTATTACATTGATCCTGATCTTCATCCTGCTAGCACTGGAGTCATTACCCTATTTCCAGCCAATGGAAGAGACCTCCAAACAGTATGCCTCCTGCCCATCCCCCATCCAGCCCCAGCAACTGTCATACTTACAGCCAATCATCATGATGGCCACTGCAAAGATCTTTTCGATGTCTGTGGATGGGGCAATGTTGCCAAAGCCCACGCTGGTAAGACTGGTCATAGTGAAATACAATGAGGAGATGTAGACAGAATTCTTGCTGGGACCACCTTCCCACTTCCCTGAGCCAGACCCGTTAAACTGGTAAGGGGTGCCAATGTCCATCGCCAGTTGGTAGAGCCAGCTATTGTTGCGGATGGTCTTGGTGTCTTCATCAAAAATCTCGTAGTCCCCGATGCTGTACCAAATGCAGGCCATCCAGTGAGCAGCTAGCCCAAACACACATACCAGCAAGACCAGCACGGCAGCTCCATACTCAATGTAGTGGTCCAGCTTACGGGCCACTCGCCCCAGACGAAGCAGCCGAACGACCTTCAGTGAGCTAAACAAGCTGCTGATGCCCTGGGAGAAGAGGAGCGGAGCATTAGGGCCAAGAACCAAAAATACTACTACTCCTTGCCTCCTCCCCACCTGGGCTGTTTGCTTCAGCATAGTGTATTTCTGCAAGATGCAAGGTATGCAAGCCTTTAAAAAAATATTTTAAAATAAGTCACAATATTGAGAAATGCTCATACACATTTGTATAGTTATGTACAATACAATTAGAATTTTATTCCAAGATATATGAAAGGGAGATTTCTATTTGATTTTTTTCTACTTCTATTAAAAGGCTGATAAAACAAAAAAGACAAAATTAGAACTTTATTTCTAATTTATTCTAATTATTGTGATAAGAATACAAATATAGGTGAGCATTTTTCATATTGTTACTATTTTAAAACAATTTTAAGGGTTATGTAATATTTCATACTAAGTAATATGAAATATTTTAAGAGTTGTATGGTATTTATTTCATATTGTATAATATTTCATTCTAATTATACTATACATAATATGCAAGTATTATGTGTTCAAAGAATGGCTAGGAAACACATGGAGAGAAATGTAAAACACTGATAGTGGTTACCACTGCATTGTCAAGTTACAGAATTCCAGGAAATTTTTTGGTTATATTTGTATATATTTTTGTTACATTTGAATAGATTTATTTAATTTCTATAATTGAAGTTATTACTTTTATAGTTAGAAAAATACATATATTTAAAAACAAACAGCTTTTTAAAAAAAAAGATAAAAATGAACTAAAGAAACAGCTGAGAAAATAAAGAACTAAGATTCTGTTTTCTCAGGAAAGTTGTAAATTCTTTGAAGCTACATCACTCCTGTGAAGCCAGGGATTATACAATCAGACACCATATATTAAACATAATCAGTCAAGGAATCTCAGAGCTAGAAGGAAGCTTCTGATTTCAGCTGGTCAAGCCTCCGGCCATCCTGCAGACCCTCCCGGGGCAATACTGGTACAGAAAAGATCATCAGAGTAGAAATCTAGAAAACAGGGTTTGAGATCCAAGTAAACCACTAACTTACTATATAAGTTTGGGCAATTCAATTGCCTGTCTCATCTAGATAATGAGGGAAGTAGACTAGAGGAAATGCTAACATCACAGAAGTCAGTGCATTCAGAACCACAAAATTCCTATTCCAAAGTGATTCCAAGGTGTAGGAAAGGGAGATTTCCATTAGTTGTTCTTTCGTCAATTAGCAAGCAAACAAACAAGCACAAAAACAGAAATACTTCTTGGCACCATAACTTCGGTCTCCCTCATACCCAGCAATAATCCAATGGCAGGATGATGCCCTTCACCAACTAGAATCAATCACTTTACACTATTCTAAACACTGGAGAGCTTCCAGGTCACTGCCCATGTCTCTTGTCCCCCATTCCCTTAATAAGAACCCCCAAGGGTCAGTTATGTTACAGACAGAAGGAAAATGTGTACATGCTTTCTAACAAGCCTGTGCCAGAGACTCACCAAGGCTGCTTCCTCTTCCTGGGTACCCAGCTAAACTACATTTCCCAGCCTCTTCCCATCTGGGTGGGTCTCTGAGACCCTTCTCAGCAATGGCTATGAGGCAAAATGTGTGTCATTTCTAAGCCAAGGCAGTTAAAAGTGAATGTGCTTTCTCTTCCCCTTGGCATGCCTTCCAGATGAGTCTAGTGAGATCCTGAGGCCAAGTATTAAAGACGGGGACATAGAGCATGGAAGAAGCCTGGGTCCCTGAAAGATTATGTGGATGGAATACCCTGTCCCCACCAATCAATGTGAATCATATTATGATATGAATGAACACTAAAACCTCTGAAATAAACCACTGAAAATTCAGGGAATATTTGGTGGAGTAGCCATTATTAGCCTTCCCTGACATGCAAACACACAGACCATATGTAGCATAGCCTTTTCCGTAAAGACTACAGATCATATAAATGGCTAAAAGACACATAAAAAAATGCTCATCATCACTAGCCATCACGGAAATACAAATCAAAACCCCAAGGAGATACCACCTTACACTGGTTAGAATGGTAAAAATTAACAAGGCAGGAAACAACAAATGTTGGAGAGGATATGGAGAAACGAGAACCCTCTTACACTGTTCGTGGGAATGCAAGTTGGTGCAGCCACTCTGGAAAACAATATGGAGGTTCCTCAAGATGTTAAGAATAGAGCTACCCTACAACCCAGCAACTGCACTACTAGGTATTTACCCCAAAGATACAGATGTAGTGAAAAGAAGGGCCACGTTCATAGCAGTGATGTCCACAATCGCCAAACTGTGGAAAGAGCCGAGATGCCCTTCAACAGGGCATGAATGGATAAAGAAAATGTGGTTGATGTACACAATGGAATATTACTCAGCTGTCAGAAAGGATGAATACCCACCATTTGCATCGACATGGATGGAACTGGAGGGTATTATGTTAAGTGAAGGAAGTCAAGCAGAGAAAGACAATTATATGGTTTCACTCATACATGGAACATAAACAATAGCAGGCAGAACAACAGGGGAAAGCAGGGAAATCCAAATGGGGAGAAAATCAGAGAGGGAGATGAATCACGAGAGGCAACGGACCCCAAGAAACAATGTGGGGGTTTCAGAGGAGAGGAGTGTGGGAGGAGGGGGTAACAGGGTCATAGCTATTGAGGAGGGCACCTGCTGTGATGAGCACTGGGTGTTATACTTAACTAATGAATCACTGAACACCACATCAAAAACTAATTATGTACTCTACAGTGGCTAACTGAACATAATTTTTAAAAAAAGACCACAGATCAGGCTGCCACACAAATTATTTTTGTTAAGGTGAGGGTGGGGGAGGTGGGATTTATTGTACCTTTTAAAAAATAAAACAAATAAACAACAGTTTTGTAGCCATAAAACTTAGAACAGAAATAATCACTTCTTGGGGTGCCTGGGTGGCTCTTTGGGTTAGGCCTCTGCCTTTGGCTTGGGTCATGATCTCGGGGTCCTGGGATTGAGCCCCACATCGGGCTCTCTGCTCGGCAGAGAGCCTGCTTCCCCCTCCCCCTGACTGCCTCTCTGCCTAGTTGTGATCTCTGTCTTCCAAATAAATAAATAAAAATCTTAAAAAAAAAAAAAAGAAAGAATCACTTCTTGTCCAACATACACAAGCAAATAAATAATAATGTATTCTTAGAGGCCAATGGACTACATCCCCAGGGTCAGCTTATCCAAACTGCTCACTCTGATGAAGTCCAGTATGGACTTGGCATGTCCAGTACTCCTCTCCTGTGTCCCCTTTTCCCTCCATATGTTTTTCTTAAAAACCTGCCATGCAGGAAATGCTAAGAAACCCCCCCCCATATTAAGGTACAAAAGACTGATGAGGGTAAATGGATATCCTCTCTCCAGAGGATATCTGCATATCAACAGAGAAACCAACCTCCAATAGTGGAATTAAAAGTACCCACAGCCTGGGTGAAGCAGATATTTTGGGAGGCAAAGGAGCCTTTCTGATGACTCAGAAATCAAACACATGTAAGCAACCACCTACTCTCCACCTGCTCATAAGGAGGTTCCTGAGATCATCTTTCAAAGCAGTTCTACTCTGAAGCAGAACTTATTACCCAGGGCAAAACTGCCTTGTCATTTTTCCTCACTCATATTTAATTCAAAGCAACATTTAAAGAAAACCTACTACATACTCCTGTGCTAATGCCACAGGGAGGAGATTAAAATGATGCTGTCCTTGTCTTCTTGTTCACTGTTGTGGCACCAGTGCCTGGCATGGGGAAGAGTCTTGATAGGAAGAAAAAGAGAGGAAGCAAGAGCGTCATAACCAGGGAGAGGCAAGATATTAGTGAGAGACACTTCCACCTAATGGTCATACAGCATGACTGCTGAGAGGGAGCGCAGACGTCATCCCGCCCAGCCCTCTGAGTCCAGTGATGCCTTCCAGGAGCTCCATTCAGCTTCTCCTCGAACTCCCCCTTAACCACAACATCTCTAAGACCCCATTCTAGCTATCATTCATGAACATGAGTCACTGGGCCTCCATTACCTTTCTTCCTCTGTTTCACTTGCACTTCATCCCTCTTCCCCTTTCCATCGCCTCCCAATGGCCACTCAACACAGGCAACCATGACCCACAGTCCTGCTGTCCTCCAGCCATACACTCCAGATGTCTGGAGCATCTTGCACAGGGGATGCACACTTGCACCTCTGTGCCTGCTCATACGAGACCCTCAACACAGAAGGCCCAGCCTCCCCTCTCTACCAGCTAGTACACTGTTATCCTTCAGGTCCGCCACTACCTCTACCCTAAAGCCTTTCATGACTACCCTGGAGTCACAACCAATCACTCACCCCTCGATGTGTCCATTGTATTCTGTGTCCATCACCAACTGAACACACTGCTTTGCACTACAGTTTTCCCAACTACAGTAGGTGCTACATCTTCCTGAAGACAGAAGCCATTTGCTTCTCATTTGAGAAGCCTCCTGTATTGGGTTGAGCAGTGTCCCCTCCAAATTCATGTCTTTCTCAGAACCTCAGAATGTGACCTTATTTGGAAATGGGGTTGTTGTGGGTATAATTAGTTAAGATGGGGTCATACTTAATCCAGTATGACTAACGTCCTTATAAAAAGAGAAGAGCCAAACACAGAGAGAGAAAACCAGGTGTTCTCTACCTATGCCGAGATTGAGGAGGGTGTGTCTTCAAGCCAAGGAATGCCAAGGATTACCAGCAAGAGCAGAAGCTAAGAGAAAGTCATGGAACAGATTCTATCCTACAGCCTTCAGGGAGAACATGGCCCTACAGACACTTTGACTTCGCATTTCTAGCTTCCAGAACTGAATATAAATTTCTAGCTTCCAGAAAATAAATTTCTATTCTATTAAGCCACCCAGTTTGGGGTAGTTTGTCATAGCTGCCCTGGAAAACTAATATACCCACATAGGATCTAAAGCCAGCACCTTCTCATAAAGGGTCTGAAACATTTTCTAAACAGAATTGAAAGTGTGGATTATTAGAGA